TTTATTTGAGAAATAAAGCACAAATAATTGGATACGAAATTGCGATTAAAATTCTAGTGAAAATTTAATTAATTAAAACGAGTTTTGTTATTAAACAATAAACCATTTAATCTAAAAAATGAATATTTTAAGACTTTTTAATATTTCCAAATTCGAAACACTCTAGCTCTAACTCAAGCTGTCGCAGTTTAATTTGATTTTTAATTTTTGTAATTAAAATTTTTACCAATTTTAATTCATTTACTTAAATTTTTCATTATTCACTAAAGTTTAAAATGTTCCGTTGATGACTTACATTTACGGCTCTATTATGTATCAGTGACAAATTCTTGTCACAGTGTTTTTTACGAAAAAATATATGAAAAATTTTACATTTATCAGTAAAAAAATGTTTGTCACCGATAGGGAATTGGGCTATTTTCATGGCACAATAAACAGATGAAGTAATAAAACAGCTTTCTCGCTTTATTTTCTGAATTCGACTGCCTTATAGTCAAATTTTCAAATAAGGCAGTGTCAAAGTCTTTCTTTTCGCTCTAATTACTTCACCTGGTATAATGGTGGCATGGCATGGGCTATTATATTTTTGGCTTTTTTTTTGTTTTTTTTTCTATTCCAGTGGCTTTTACTTGATCGGAAAATTTCCGATAANTCTTTTTTTTTGTTTTTTTTTTTCTATTCCAGTGGCTTTTACTTGATCGGAAAATTTCCGATAAAAAATTTCGGATACTCGGAATGCAGGACATCAAATTTCCGACAGAATTCCGATTCGAAGTTGAACAAAAAACAGAACAAAGTGGAATCGGAAATAATTTCCCGGAAAAAAATTTCTCGGAAACAAATCCTTCGAATCGGATTGCAGATCAGGGCTGTATATTAAAAACCAAAGATTTCTTAGTTAACGAAATTCTACCTCATTTTTTATAGTGGTGGGTTTTATAGTTTACGTGGGCACGAGTGTATGCTTGAACGACAGTAATAGGCTGACTTCCAAAACGTTAATTGCTTTGCATACTTTGTACTAGGGACGGTAATCATTATGAGTAAAATAATTTAAATCAGCATTTAATCAATATTTATTGATTTTTATATTTTTCGCTCAAAAATAATAGTTATTATTAATTTTTATTTTTTCGATCAACGGAAATGATTTTTATTTTTTCGATCACAAATAATGATTATTTTATGATTTTTATTTTTTTGCTCAGAGATAATAATTAGTACTGAGTTTTAGTTTTCTACTTAAAAATAATGATTATTTATAGAACTGAAAACGCCATACAGACGCAACTTACTGAAATTTGGACCTGAAAATTTTGGGACTTATTCCTTTTATTAGGGTGTCGCTACCTCTGAAAAGGATACGACGGAAATCGCGCTGGTATAGCTTTGGGTTTTTTTAATAATCATTATTCTTAAGTGAAAAAATAAAACTCAATAATAATTATTGTATTGAGCGAAAAAATGAAAACAGTAGAATATCATTATTTTTGATCGAAAAAATAAAAATTAAGGAATAATAATTACCTTTGAGCGAAAAATTAAAACTCAAATATTAATTATTATTTTTAATCTTTGTTGATTAAACTCGAAAAAATAAAAATCATTCTAAATTGCAGTAGGGCATACGAACACAAATACGTAAGTATAGTTAAAACTGTTTTACGACGATTGCAACTTGTTGATTTTTTTGGNACTCGAAAAAATAAAAATCATTCTAAATTGCAGTAGGGCATACGAACACAAATACGTGAGTATAGTTAAAACTGTTTTACGACGATTGCAACTTGTTGATTTTTTTGGTTAAAATTTAAAAAATAATGATTATTTTCCGTCCCTGCTTTGTCCGTATTATGTTCCATAATGCCGAACTACACAATTTTGACAATGCATACTTTTCCAAAACGCATCCGAAAAAATATCGAAACGCATCGCTAGAGCAATCAGCGCATCAGAAACAAAGTTGATGCTTCGTTTGTTATTGTTGTTGTTGTTGTAGCAGCATACAAATTCCCCAAAGACTTTTTGAGGAGTTTTGCTGGAGTGACAGTCCTTGGCCAGAGATATAAATCTGGGTCATTCCGGTTACGTAGACCCGGCTGTCGTGGAAACGGTTTGTTGTTGTTGTTGTAGCGGCTACAACAACCCCGCCCAGATCGGTTAATATCTCGACGTTGTCGTCAAGTTCCACTAACGGCAGCCCTAAGAAGCGTGCAGCCTCTATGGGGTCGGTCCACAGGGACAAAGGCGTTAGGGCTGTTGGGTTTTTCAGGCATACGAAGAGATGCTTCGTCATGTCATGAGGTGTCTCTCCGCATGCCAGACACTCATCCGGCACATCCGCGTTTAGTCTGCTCAGGTATGAGTTTAACCTGCCGCAGTAGCCAGAGCGAAGTTGGGCTATTGTGGTTCTTGTCTCCCGAGGCAGATGAAGCTCCGTCTCGTCTATGTCCGGTGGTTGTGCGCCTAGAACGGCATTCACAGGTCTGGAGTCTACATAACTCGGGACTGACTCCCTGTGAATGCCGTTCAGGGCCTGCCGATATGCTGACGGGTCCAGAGNCCTCTATGGGGTCGGTCCACAGGGACAAAGGCGTTAGGGCTGTTGGGTTTTTCAGGCATACGAAGAGATGCTTCGTCATGTCATGAGGTGTCTCTCCGCATGCCAGACACTCATCCGGCACATCCGCGTTTAGTCTGCTCAGGTATGAGTTTAACCTGCCGCAGTAGCCAGAGCGAAGTTGGGCTATTGTGGTTCTTGTCTCCCGAGGCAGATGAAGCTCCGTCTCGTCTATGTCCGGTAGTTGCGCCCCTAGAACGGTACTCACAGGTCAGAAGTCTACATAACCTAAGACTGACTCCCCGTGAATGCCGTTTAGGGCCTGTTGATGTGCTGACGGGTCCAGAGGTTGTTTAATGAACCTCTGGACTTCGTCCGTCAGATGGTAGAGATGCCTCCTGACGTGCCTGGGCGAGGGCTCTTCTGCAAGCAGCTGCCCATTCGGCTGACCACGTCTATGGCTCCCGACAAGGAAATGCTTGCAGATGTAATGTGTTATGCTCGTTGACAGGGAGCAATTTCGCCTCGTCGTGTAGGTGGTGTTCAGGCGACATCAGAAGGCATCCAGTCGCTGTCCGTAGTGCGGTATTCTGTGTTGTCTGCAGCTTCATCCACTGCGTCCTACTAGTCCCCGGTGACCACACTGGTGCTGCGTAATTTAAAACCGGCTGCCCTATTGCCTTGTATGTTGCCAGCAACGTTTCTTTATCTTTGCCCCAAGTACTGCCGGCTTGCGACTTGAGGACCTTGTTGCGGCTCNAAGACTCCCGCTGGTGGTTGAGGGAGCTTTGAAAAGTAAAAGTTAAACAGTAGCGGGGAAAGGACACCACCCTGTGGAACCCCCTGTTTTATTTTTCTAAGTTTGACGATTTGTCTCTAAACATTACCGACGAGTGTCGACCATTCAGATAATTCGCCGACCACCGTTTGAGCCTCTGTGGGAGAGAGGAAGCCGCTACATCTTCTAGTAGCGTGGAGTGGCTGACGGTGTCAAACGCCTTCGACAGGTCCAACGCTACTCGAATAATTCTCCCACAGGGACGGTTGCGGTCAAGGCCACGTGTTATCTGANACGATTTGTCTCTAAACATTACCGACGAGTGTCGACCATTCAGACAATTCGCCGACCACCGTTTGAGCGTCTGTGGGAGAGAGGAAGCCGCTACATCTTCTAGTAGCGTGGAGTGGCTGACGGTGTCAAACGCCTTCGACAGGTCCAACGCTACTGGAATAATTCTCCCACAGGGACGGTTGCGGTCAAGGCCACGTGTTATCTGAGTGTTTATGGAGTTAAGTGCTGTAGTTGTACTGTGGACTTTACGGAAACCATGCTGATGCCTGGGTGTGTGTGAGTATGATGTATTGTGTGTCAAATTTGGTTTGGAGACAAACCGGTTTCGGCGTTGTGCCATCTTCAGTGTCATTTGTGTCAAATTTGACAAGGGATGACGAACAATAAATTCTTACAGACTATGGGAAGGTTAAAAGTATTTAATTTAACTACTTAATTTAGATAATTGAGCTTAAAATATTCACAAATGATGACTTTTGTAGCGAAAAAGCGATATCGATAGAATTAGAGATTATATTGGATTCATTAGCAGCTCTGCAGAGGGGCGAATTCCGAACATAATTCGTTTTACAATAACTACAGTAAAACGTATAGCAGAACCGAAGAGATCTTTGCGGAACATTAAAGTGGATACGTTCCAAGAGGTAAGGACAGTCAACAGTTCCTTGAATAATGCCCAACACAAAAGTTAGGGAAAGGACCTTTTTTTCCAAATATAACACCAAGGTCCTTAATTTCTCTGATAATCTGCAGAGTGCTGCCTGAGATACGATACGAGGTAACAAACACATTTGGGGACTTAGAGAAAGTAACATGAAAACATTTATTGACATTAAAAGAAAGGCGCNCACAGTCAACAGTTCCTTGAATAATGCCCAACACAAAAGTTAGGGAAAGGACCTTTTTTTCCAAATATAACACCAAGGTCCTTAATTTCTCTGATAAGCTGCAGAGTGCTGCCTGAGATACGATACGAGGTAACAAACACATTTGGGGACTTAGAGAAAGTAACATGAAAACATTTATTGACATTAAAAGAAAGGCGCGATTGAAGGCACCAAGCGTGCAGGTTGTCAAGCTCTGTTTGAAGTTTGAGCATGTCGGAAGTGCCCGTTATGTTCGAGAATATTTTCAAGTCGTCGGCGTATAACAGATAATTTGAAAAAGAGAAGAATGAACTAATGTCATTTATAAACAAAACAAAAAGCATTTGCCCGAGAACACTACCTTGAGGCACGCCCGAGGTCGCAACGAAGATATCAGAAGAAAAATGGTCTACCGTAACAACGCAACGCCTGCAACACAAATACGATTTAAGCCAGTTTAAAAAGACAGAATGGAAACCTAGGCGTTCGAGTTTCGAAACTAGAATTCTATGAGATACCTTGTCGAAAGCCTTCGAAAAGTCTGTGTAGATACAAACCACCTGAGATGCATTAGAAAAAGCCGAAATACCATATTCACTAAAGACCGCAAGATTTGAGACCGTGGAGGACCCAGGTACAAAACCATGATACTCTTGACCGAGAAATACATTTTATCCTTAAAGATGCATTCGAACAGTTTAGACACNCGATACCTTGTCGAAAGCCTTCGAAAAGTCTGTGTAGAAACTACACTGTAGATACAAACCACCTGAGATGCATTAGAAAAAGCCGAAATACGATATTCACTAAAGACCGCAAGATTTGAGACCGTGGAGGACCCAGGTACAAAACCATGATACTCTTGACCGAGAAATACATTTTATCCTTAAAGATGCATTCGAACAGTTTAGACACGGTAGACAGTTTAGAAATCGGTCAATAGTTACTGATATCATTTTTGTTTCCACTTTTGAAAATTGGAGTTATAGAGGCCAATTTCCACGCATCTAAAAACATCCCAGTAGAAAGAGACTTGTTAAGGATAATTTTCAATGGAAGGATCAGTGCTGGACAGTTTTTTAATAAAAGTGCGGATACTACATCGATGTCAGGTCTTGCGGAAGTCTTCAGATCAACAAGAGCTTTCGCTACATCATCGTATGAGAGGTAAAGGGAAACAAACCCAAATGAGGAACTAACACCGAATGCAGGCCCAATATCAAGGTTTGTATATGCATTACGGAATATCCTGGTCTGACATACCGCGCAGATTGTAGGAGGAACTAGGTGTTGNCCCAAATGAGGAACTAACACCGAATGCAGGCCCAATATCAAGGTTTGTATATGCATTACGCAATATCCTGGTCTGACATACCGCGCAGATTGTAGGAGGAACTAGGTGTTGTCGGCGGCGACGTGTGGGTGGTGGTGCGGTTGCGTCTGTAATGTGGTATGTCGCGGTTGTGGTGTAGTATATTGTGTTGTTGTGTTGTGGTGCTGTGGTGTCTGTGTTGTGCTGCTCAGGTAGACTGGGGTCAGCCGTGGAGGCTGCTCTGTTTGAGCAGCAGGAGGCCACAAAAGATGTGGTCCACTGCCAATGTGTCCGAAGTCCTGAGCAGACTCTGAGGTGGCTCCACCCCTCGCAAGCATTGCACTTNCTGTCGCGGTTGTGGTGTAGTCTATTGTGTTGTTGTGTTGTGGTGCTGTGGTGTCTGTGTTGTGCTGCTCAGGTAGACTGGGGTCAGTCGTGGAGGCTGCTCTGTTTGAGCAGCAGGAGGCCACAAAAGATGTGGTCCACTGCCAATGTGTCCGTAGTCCTGAGCAGACTCTGAGGTGGCTCCACCCCTCGCAAGCATTGCACTTGACTGAGGTGGAGTTGTGGTGTAGTCGTCTCTTGTATACACAGCAGGTGTAGGTTTCTGGCCCTGGGTTTGACTCGATGCCAGCCCTGAGCAGAAGTATACGTAGCGAATGTAGCCCTATGGAAGACCAACTTCTGAGATCTTTATGAACTGACGGACGAAGTCCAGAGGTTCATTAAGCAACCTCTGGACCCGTCAGCTCATACACAGGCCCTGAATTGCATTCACAGGGACGCAGTCTCAAGTTATGTAGACTCAAGACCTGTGAATGCCGTTCTAGGCACACAAACACCGGACATTGACATGACGGAGCTCCATCTGCCTCGTGAGACCAGAACGACAATAGCCCAACTTCGCTCTGGCTACTGCAGCAGGCTAAATTCCTACCTGTGTATGTTAAATGCGGATGTGACGAACGAATGTCCGGCATGCGGAGAGACCCCTCACGACTCGAAACATCTCTAACCCCACAACCCTAACGGCGTCGTGCCTATGGACTGACCCCATAAAGGCTGCACGCTTCTTGGGGCTGCCGACGACTGGAATATCAGCCGATCTGGGCGGGGTTGTTGTAGCCGCTACAACAACAACAACAACAACCAACTTCTGATATACTTCGCCGACCTAAACGGGGTTAGATCGCCGAAACAACAGCCCTTGGTCGAGTAACACCCCCGAGTCATTCCGTTACGTAGAACCGGCTGTCGTGGGAATGTTCGTTTAAGATGGTTACCATTGGTGCCTCAAAAATGGAAAATTCAGAAAAATTGTTCATTGATATATAGAATATTTAAAATATGCAATGTATATGGTTGCAATGTCTCTCAACTCTGCATATACAAACAGTTTGAGTACCGCAGTATAACAGTATCCAAACATTGACTGACTTTCAAAACGTAACAATACAATGTTTGGAAACTGTTATACTGCGGTATTCAAACTGTTTGTATATGCAGAGTTGCGCAGCATTGCGATCATATACATTGCATATTTTAAATAGGGAAATGTTTAGTAACTGACCCATCGTTTTGCGGGTGGGGGGCGCCACTAGAAAGCGGACAGTCACCACTTTCTAAAAAGGCGNCCGAGTCATTCCGGTACGTAGAACCGGCTGTCGTGGGAATGTTCGTTTAAGATTGGTTACCATTGGTGCTTCAAAAATGGAAAATTCAGAAAAATTGTTTATTGATATATAGAATATTTAAAATATGCAATGTATATGGTTGCAATGTCTCACAACTCTGCATATACAAACAGTTTGAGTACCGCAGTATAGCAGTATCCAAACATTGACTGACTTTCAAAACGTAACAATACAATGTTTGGAAACTGTTATACTGCGGTATTCAAACTGTTTGTATATGCAGAGTTGCGCAGCATTGCGATCATATACATTGCATATTTTAAATAGGGAAATGTTTAGTAACTGACCCATCGTTTTGCGGGTGGGGGGCGCCACTAGAAAGCGGACAGTCACCACTTTCTAAAAAGGCGTACGGCCCCCCTTGGGCTACACCCACAGGCTCCTAGGGAACCGTTTTTTAATTAATTTAATAGTTATTTGCAAAACACTTGCACTTTGCACTTGTCGCCCCATGTTTTGATAAATTTGATGCAAATAAATGGAGCAAATGAAAGTTGTTCTCTGCAGAAGGTGTTCAGCCCCCCTTCTTTGGCAACACAGAAAGGAGAATTCTACTGCCTGAGGGTTATAATCCCTAAGTGCGGCCGAAGGCCGCCTACGTAGAAAGGTGTTCTCTGCAAAATGTGTTCAGCCCCCCTTCTTTGGCAACACAGTAAGGAGAATTCTACTGCCTAAGGGTTATAATCCCTAAGTGCGGCCGAAGGCCGCCTACGCAAAAAGCGGACGCCTGGTTCCGCTAAAGTGCACATAACGTATATTTTTAATGCTTACTGGGTTATATACTATCTTCTTTTGTCTCTAATTCTTTTGCATATTTTTTTTTTTGTTTGACAGCTGAACTCCGCCATTTAATTTGCAGGTGTTTTTATTTATAATTTGAAGGTGTTTTTATTTAATGAATTGTGATTAATTGGTTAACATTAAAGTCGTAAAGAAAGTTATAACTAATCCGATAAAGTGTAAAGTGAAGGGGAATACAAAAATATATTGGTGGAGTGATAAATGTTCGCTAATTTTCGATTTTTTCAAAAAAGGGCATATTTCAAACCCAATTTGTAAATAAATTAGTGACCAAAAATTACAAAAGTTGGTGTTAAAATAAAGTGTAGACCCTTGACTACAAGTGGGTGGAATTTTTTTTTGGATCGGGCCACCCCTTTGGACGGAATAGTTCGAAATAGTTGGGGGCGCTACTAAACCCCACCCTTGAAATATTCAATATANTATTGCGATCATATACATTGCATATTTTAAATAGGGAAATGTTTAGTAACTGACCCATCGTTTTGGGGGTGGGGGGCGCCACTAGAAAGCGGACAGTCACCACTTTCTAAAAAGGCGTACGGCCCCCCTTGGGCTACACCCACAGGCTCCTAGGGAACCGTTTTTTAATTAATTTAATAGTTATTTGCAAAACACTTGCACTTTGCACTTGTCGCCCCATGTTTTGATAAATTTGATGCAAATAAATGGAGCAAATGAAAGTTGTTCTCTGCAGAAGGTGTTCAGCCCCCCTTCTTTGGCAACACAGAAAGGAGAATTCTACTGCCTGAGGGTTATAATCCCTAAGTGCGGCCGAAGGCCGCCTACGTAGAAAGGTGTTCTCTGCAAAATGTGTTCAGCCCCCCTTCTTTGGCAACACAGTAAGGAGAATTCTACTGCCTAAGGGTTATAATCCCTAAGTGCGGCCGAAGGCCGCCTACGCAAAAAGCGGACGCCTGGTTCCGCTAAAGTGCACATAACGTATATTTTTAATGCTTACTGGGTTATATACTATCTTCTTTTGTCTCTAATTCTTTTGCATATTTTTTTTTTTGTTTGACAGCTGAACTCCGCCATTTAATTTGCAGGTGTTTTTATTTATAATTTGAAGGTGTTTTTATTTAATGAATTGTGATTAATTGGTTAACATTAAAGTCGTAAAGAAAGTTATAACTAATCCGATAAAGTGTAAAGTGAAGGGGAATACAAAAATATATTGGTGGAGTGATAAATGTTCGCTAATTTTCGATTTTTTCAAAAAAGGGCATATTTCAAACCCAATTTGTAAATAAATTAGTGACCAAAAATTACAAAAGTTGGTGTTAAAATAAAGTGTAGACCCTTGACTACAAGTGGGTGGAATTTTTTTTGGATCGGGCCACCCCTTTTGACGGAATAGTTCGAAATAGTTGGGGGCGCTACTAAACCCCACCCTTGAAATATTCAATATAGCAATGAACAATTTTTCTTAATTTTCCATTTCTCTTACACCAATGCTAACCAATAACAAACAAGGCATCAACTTTGTTTCTGATGCGCTTATTGCTCTAGCGATACGTTTCGATAACTTTTCGGCTGCGTTTTGGAACGTATACATTGTCAATATTTTGTAGTTCGACGTTATGGAACCCTATACTTTGTACCTATGCAAAACAATTGACGTTTTGGAAGTCAGCCATTGTATTGATACGTTTTGGAAGTCAGCCATACTTACCAAATAGTGTACACTTGCTTGAATTATTAGAATTTTGATGTCGATCATAGCAGATATCCATTAATTTGGTTGTGCGATGGACACTCTTGGTCAAACGCTTTTTGGAGCTACTCACATTTGTGTCGGCATCGCATAAACCTTGGTAGATATCAGGTGTTAGGCTTTCTACAACATCCATATATCTACAAGAGAGCAAAGTCATTAGAAAACCACGGTAGCATCTTTAGTGTAAAGGAACCTTTTCGCGTCTAATGTTTCCTTTCCTCGTCTGGTAAAAAGAGGTACTGTATTTTTGTCGTTATACCCACTCGGTGTGACCTCGCAGGGGTCCCGTACCATCAACAGAGAGAGGCATTCTGGGTAACCGACATAGGCACTAAGAGAATCGTTGAATAATTTTATCGAATCTGTCATGTGGTCAATAGTAGATAATGAAAACTGCAACGCTGGTATCGTGTTGCTAATATATTCAAATACTTCACGGCTGAGATAGGGAATGCTACCCCCCTATTTAAAAGATTATCTTAATATTGCCTATAAACACGCGTTAATGAGTACCCACTTTTGTGCTTTGCACTAACAAAGGCGTCCGGAATCGCCTGTCAGTTTCCATTTGCACCAATTGGCCAAGGCGTCCGGAGGATTTACTTACACTCTCAATGACGAATTTCATTTTGAAAACGGTAGTTTTGTATAAAATATATGAAGCCTGCTTGTCGATCAAGATGTTTTTTTTTTATTCAATGGAGATGCGCGATACCGATACGATCCAATATATCAATATCGTTGTTCAACATCTCGGTTAATTTATACCGATATCAGGTGTTGCGATACTATATCGATACAATATTTTGGTTCGATATTTTAAATATCGGAAAACTTCCTGTACCGACTCAGGGGCTTCTGAATTGAAAATAAAAATACATAAATAAACAAAATGTAGGTGAAGTATAATATTAATCTTTAATGTATGCTGATATTCTTGCTTAATGAAGAATAATATCAATAGTTAAGTACGTAATTAACGCTTGTGTTTTATAAACTGGATAACTCAAATCGTAATTATAGCATTGCATGGAGTTTTCTTAAATGTAAGTTTAAAATAAAAAAAGTCCATTGTAAGATTATATTTTTATGAAAAACGTAAATTTTGTGAATTTATCAAGCCAAATTCTAAATTTCCGAATATATTTAAGTCTTTATTTAAAAAAAAACAAGGTTTGTATAGCTATACAGACCCCAATGCCTGCCAGCGCATTCGACCAGACAGTCCACGTTCCCAAGACAGTCGGGTCTACGTAACCGGAACGACCCAGATTTATATTTGGCCAAGGACTGTCACTCCAGCAACACTCCCCAAAAACTCTTTGGGGAATTTGTATGCTGCTACAACAACAACAACCAGACAGTCCATTAAGCACACCCAAGCTTGAGTGATCTACAAGTTACAAACGTTTTCAGCATTTAACAGTTCATTATCATGTACGGTGTAATATTAATTATTATACACTGAACTATGAACTATCTGTACTAGTATCTATAATAATAGACAACAATTCGCAATGTTTTTACACTTTTTAGTCTGTTCCAATAGCAGTCCGGTTTACAGGATTTAGTCAGAACTTACAGGAAGTCGTTCCTATTGACATAAAACCTGTAAGTGGGAACACATTTGAGAGAGTAACTGAGCAACTGCTCCTACT